TTATAGCCAAATTCTAACCAGGATAATAATCATGCTATAGCTAATGCTATGCTGTAGTTAATGCTATACACTATACCAAATTCTAACAAGGATAATAGATCATGCTATAGCTAATGCCATACACTATGCTAAAGTGAGTAATTATAACCAATTTCTAACAAGGATAAAGGCTTTTCTTCTAACTTTAACAGAGCAAAGACACAATAACTGAGTTGTACGCATTAGATTACATAAGGCGCCCCGCCCCCCCCCCCAGAGTCACATGGTGTCTGCTCTGCTTTGTGTGGGGTGACGTGGGTATGCAAAGGCCCACCTGGTAGCCATGGTGACGTCACCCGGAGGCAAATGTGGCGTGTTCCTCTCCACACGCGTGTGTCAACACGCCTTATGTCCTGAGACGTTCAGTAACGAAGTAAAACTACTTAAGTACTGTACTTAAGTACCAAAATGCAGTATCTGTACTTTATTGGAGTATACAGGACTGTCTCAGAAAATTAGAATATTGTGATAAAATTCTTTATTTTCTGTAATGCGATTAAAAAACATGAAATGTCGTACATTCTGGATTCATTACAAATCAACTGAAATATCACAAGCCTTTTATTGTTTAATATCGCTGATTATGGCTCACAGCTTAAGAAACCCAAATATCCTATCTCAAAATATTAGAATATGGGATTTTTGAGTTTTCTTCAGCTGTACGCCACAATCAGCGATATTAAAACAATAAAAGGATTGTGATATTTCAGTTGATTTGTAATGAATCCAGAATGTATGACATTTCATGATTTTTAATTGCATGACAGAAAATAAAGAACTTTTTCACCATATTCTAATTATCTGAGACAGTCCTGTATATTTTTTTTACCTACTTTTACTTTTACTCCACAACATACTTTTGTTTAATTTAATACTTTTACTTTTACTTTCACGGGCTGAATCGTTACTCGTTACTAATATGTAAACGTAATCATCCCAAAGTACGGTTGATTGCTAATGCATTTGTAGTTTTTATTTTTCGGAAACCCCTTTATGGCCTTTCATAGTTGGACTGTCTTTCACAGGTTTGAAATAATATAAACAATATCTATCAAACTTTTGACTGCCTTTTTTTTAATTATACGCAGTACTTGTACTTTTACTTTTACTTGTACTTTCGATACTTGAGTAGCAATTTTTGAAATACTTCTACTTGCAATACTTAAGTACAAAAAAAACTGAGTACTTCCGTACTTCCACTTAAGTCTGGAGGTGAGATAATACTACAACTTTTACTCAAGACAATTCTTTTATATCCTCCTGAGACCCGGCCCATTCATTTATGTCCATTATAGTGGACATTTTGTCCACCTGTACCCCCCTAAGTATCTGGGGTTACCCTATATAGCCCTATAGTGTTCTGTAGAGCACATCCTGGGCTTTCCAGTGATGTGCCATGTGATAGCTTTGCATGCTGGGAACTTTACTTTTTTCCTAAGAGTTCTTAGGTAAATATCCCTTTCAAGACATCTTCTTTTTTATTATTTAATTATCTAAAGCCTGTTCTATTTTCGCATGCAAATCGTCCTGTTGTCCTCCACAGTGGACATGCTATGAAATTAAAATTAAAAATATTTAAAAAAAATTTTAAATTGTAATGTTCTTTTTTAGGTCCAAATACATGGAAAATCACAACAAAAAAGAAATTTGAAGACACAATTTTTTTTCTTTGGGTCTCAAGAGGATATAGTACTCGTACTTCTACTCCACTCCTCTACTCCAGTACTTTATACTCCCTGATATTCAACATGAACCCTTAAAAAAAAAAGGCCTTCAAAGGCCGAGATAAGCCTGGAAGTGACGGCTATTACAGACATTAGAGAGCACACGTGGGTCAGAACTCCATATATATCCGTACGTGTTAGCATAAAGCCGCGCGCAGCTAATCCATGGAGTGAAATTACTCTTACCCAGAAGGCTTTGAGGGTTCATTGGTAGGATAGAGTACAAATGCAGGTCAGTGGGAGCTTGAGGGAAAAAAGCCTCTTTTTCTGCCCTCCTCCCATGCATATCATATTCATAACATGGTGATTTGTAAGCCGTTCTGCTTTAATGTATTGAATAATATCTTCCCGAGAGAGGATTTAAAGTGCATGCTGAGAATGAGAAAAGGCTTTTTTCTTTTTTTTTTTTTGCATCTGTTTCTATTTTGTTTCAGTTCACATGGACAGGAGGGAGGATATTATGATTGTTTTATCTCAAATCACATGTTTATTCCCTGATTTGACTATTCTGAATATTAAATCAAACACGGAAATTAATTCAATTTCATTTAAATTTAATCTAAAGTTAAATCAAACATATTTTACACATATAAAGCCCATAAGTCCTTAAGCTTCCCTGGAATGGTGTCCCTGTACATCCCTTAAAGGGGAAAGAAATGTAAACTTTCTCAGTTGATTTATGTGTTTTCTTTTAAGTGAATTGCGCTATTTGGACATAAATGGTCCAAATATTGTCATTTTTTGCTCATGAATCGAACATGTAGGCCCACAGGCATCTCTCTGAACATGCATTCAGACATTCCTCCACAATATGTTAAATATTTAGTGCTTTTTTCCCTTTTAAACGAAATTAAATCTTTTTATATAACTAAAAACAGACATTGCCTTTTGGTAAAGAGGTGAAAAACATTCATTATTCATTCTTAATGCTATAAGCATCATTTTACTGATGAATATCTGATGAGATTTTTGTATTTTTTTACAAAAAGATTAACATAATATGTGTAGTTAACATACAAATGAGCAGTCTGACTTCTTAGTGTCTTTTTTCTGGTTTTATCTCCATTTTTCTCTGAAACAGTACGAAACTTGAGGGGATTTTACATAGTAATAATGTGTTTCCGGATCATTTTGGTGGACTGAATTGAAACAAACTGCTTTGATATCGTTCCTCATTCCTAATAATTGGATTGCCGGCGATAGACACAACCAAGTCCTATTAGCTAGTTAGCTCATAGCTAACAGGCCAGGTCCTAATTCATGCAGATGACAGGAATGTGCTAACAAATGGTGTGTGTGTGTGTGTTGACCTAAAGGTGGATCTAATTCTATGGAGATAGAAAAAGAGAGAAAAGAAAACACAAAAGTATAGTTCTATAAGGAATACGACAATCGTTTTTTTACATAGATCATGCTATAGCTAATGCTATGCTAAAGCTAATGCTATACGCTATGCTAAAGTGAGCAATTAGATTTTTTGTATTTTTTCACAAAAAGATGAACATAGTATGAGTAGTTAACATACAAATGAGCAGTCTGACTTCTTAGTATCTTTCTTCTGGATTTATCTCCATTTTCCTCTGAAACAGAAAGAATATCTGATGAGATTTTTTTTTTTTTTTACAAAAAGATTAACATAATATGTGTAGTTAACATACAAATGAGCAGTCTGACTTCTGAGTGTCTTTCTTCTCTGAAACAGGAGGAAACTTGAGGGGATTTTACATAGTAATAATGTGTTTCCGGATCATTTTGGTGGACTGAATTGAAACAAACTGCTTTGATATCATTCTTCATTCCTAATAATTGGATTGCCGGCGACAGACACAACCAAGTCCTATTAGATAGTTAGCTCATAGCTAACAGGCCAGGTCCTAATTCATGCAGATGACAGGAATGTGGTACCAAAT